TCAGGACTGGGTAAGAGTAGGTGACCTTTGGATTCATTGACATGGGGACTAGGGGAATTTCAAAATTGTTACTAACAGTTGCCCACAAGAACAGTTGCTTTTTGGGGGGGGGGTTTGGGTTTTCTTTTTCTTTGTTGTTTTTTCGAGACAGGGTTTCCCTGTATTATTTTGGAGCCTGTCCTGGAACTCGCTTGGTAGACCAGGCTGGTCTCAAACTCACAGAGATCCGCCTGCCTCTGCCTCCCGAGTGCTGGGATTAAAGGCGTGCACCAACAACACGTTATGTTATTTACCAAAATTAGTCATTATCTGACTACCCAGATGGGGTCACTTTGTCCAGGGTGGGCACAGTTTGGGTGCTCCTTGGAACTGTTTATGGTTCCTTCGCTGAAGCTGAATCAGCCTTGTGCCATGCAGGGAATTTCTCAAGTTTACCTTGCTTTTACCAGATCTGCCTGCCTTTCCCTCGCGAATGCTGGGATTAAAGTCATGCACCATGCCAGGCGGTGGTGGCTCATGCCTTTACTCACAGTACTCAGAAGGCAGAGACAAATGGATCTTTGTGAGTTCGAGGCCAGCCTGGTCTATAGAGCAAATTCCAAGACAGGCTCTAAAGCTACAGAGAAACTCTTGTCTCAAAAAACAAACAAATAACAACAACAACAACAACAAAAAGCAAAGGCTTGTACTATCATCACCTAGCCACTGGTACTTTTGCTGACCATGCTCATTCAAAACCCTCAGTATCAGAAATCTTAGGAGCAAAGGGGTCTAAGAGATTCTCAAAACAGTAACGCTATTGTTGCTGCTTCTGGTTGCCTCACAGAGGTAGAAGTTAAATAAATTTCTGTCTTAGTTAGGGTTTTATTGCTGTGAACAGATGCCATAACAATACTTTTTGGAAGAATATGGAACACTTTGGGACTTTGCATTAGAAAAGTGATTGGACACTTTAAGCAGCCCTTAATGGGAGATGCTAGTAGGAGCAGGGTAGATGGTGGTGATTTGAACTGGGGTGGGGGTTGGCTTTGAAGTTTCAGATGCTCAAGGCAGGATCAGTGTCACTTTTCCTTCCTGCTGCTTGAGAATCGAGATATATAGAGTTCTTAGTCCCTCTCCAGCACCATGTCTGCCTATACTCTGACATGCTTCCCTCCGGCCATAATGATAATGGAATAGACCTCTGAACTGTAAGCCAGCCCTGAATTAAATGTTTTCCTTTGTAAGAGTTGCTGTGGAGCTGGGTGGTGGCGGCTCACACCTTTAATCCCAGCACTGGAAAGGCAGAGGCAGGAAGATATCTGTGAGTTCAAGATCAGCCTGGTCTACAGAGTGAGTTCCAGGATAGGCTCCAAAGCTACACAGAGAGACCCTGTCTCAAAAAACCAAAAACAAAAAGAAAATTAATTGAAAAAAAAAGAGTCACTGTGGTCATGGTGTCTCAGCACAGCAATAGAAACCCTAACTAAGATAGTCTCAATTGCTAAAGACCCCATACATTTCAGACACAGGATTCAGGTTACTGGCTCTGACCTGAAAAAACCTCCTTCCTAAGCATTACCTTTCCTAGTACAGCAGCTGCCAAGACGAGGAGGAAATTCCTACCCCTACCTAGTTGTGATGCCTATGAAGCACAAGCATGACTACCATGGCAAGATATCTGTAAATGTGTAATAGTGGCCCTCATGTCTTGACAATAACCAGCTTCTCAGCTCAGGACAGATTAGTCTTTCTAGTTCCACTGAACTAGACCACTCTGTGGGTAGAAAGAAAAGTTTATTTGGGTAATCAAACTGCTGGGCTATCTCTCAGGGGCAGAGAATAGCAAGTAGTGGGAAAAGCCTTGTCAGTTTTAAGGGCGTAAGGTAGAAGCTGGAGGAGAAGTACAAGCCAGGACAACAACCACAACTCTTTTTTTTTTTATGTGTATTCATGTTTTGCCTGCATATATGTCTAGATGAGGGTGTCAGGTCTGTGGGAACAAAAGACCTTGGCTGGAGGCCCACTTCCCCATCAGCCTGGGAGCAGGCAGCTGTAAAACATGTTTGGTAAAAACATGTTTACGGAAAACAATCCGGTGTCCATAAGAAATGTTTACCGGAGCAGTAAGTTCCTGATAAGGGCTCGCCTACTGAACGCCCTGACTTGGACCTTTTCTAAAGACTAACCATCTCTTTCTGACCCACCCACTGCAACCTCTGGTGTCAGAGCATGGAACCAGCCAGGGGTAAGAGATGGAGCAAAAGCTTTTCCTGGGAAGCCTTTCTTGGGAAGTTTTCTTGAGCCTTCTTGGGGCCTGCTTAAAGCTTTCTTTGCACCACCAACTGGTCTCTGTGTCATCAATCCGGACACCCTCCGCACATTCTCGGATACAGGCTGTGCAGCAAGTGCGGCAAGGTCCCCTGGAACCGGAGTTACAGACAGCTGTGAACTGCCATGTGGTTGTTGGGAATTGAACCTGGGTTCTCTGGAAGAGCAGCCAGTGCTCTTAACCACGGAGACATCTGTCCTGCCTCCTGTCCAAGACAACTCTTATAAAGAAAGACATTTAATTGGGGCTCACTTACAGTGTCAGAGGTTTAGTACATTACATGGAGGCACTCAGGCAGACATGGTGCTGGAGAAGGATCTGAGAGTTCTATATTTTGATCTTTAGGCAGCAAAAGGAGAGTGTGTGTCACACTGGGTGTAATTTGAGCATGAGACCTCAATGATTGCTCCAACAGTGACACATTTCCCCCAACAAGGTCACACCTACTCCAAAAGGACCACACCTCCTAATAATGCCACTACCTACGACCCAGCATGCAAACACATGAATCTATGGGAACTCTAACCTACTCAAACCACTACAGGTACTAGTGTTTTGCCTGTTTAACAGAGATCTGCCTTACTCATTTCCTTAAGAATGCCGAATGCAGCCTTCTGTTTATCCAATAACAATCTTTCTGTTACAAGGTGAGATTCTTGTTTAAGACATTGTCAGTTTGGACCTAAAACTGTTCTGTATACTCAGACATCCTGAGAACATACTTGAATAGAAATTTATCTAAATTTGATCATTACAGGGGTTGGGAAGTTTATACCATTGTTCAGAGATGGGAGTAGGTTGCTAGGTTCATTGTTTAGAGACTGGTGTATGTGCCTGTAGGACACACATATTAAGCAAATGGGCTGCAAAATACATTAGTATAAGAAGTGGGTATAACAGGCTCCCAGACCTTAGCACAACTGACTCCATGATGGAAGTAGCATTCAGGCTGTAAAACTCAGCACCTAGACAGCACCACCTGCCAAAACAAAAACAAAGACCTAATCCAGAACTAAGGTCTTTTGAAATGTTCTAACTTTGCCTTTTGGCTTCTGTTGTTCTGCTTCTGGCTAAGTGTTCTTGCTAACTGAAGTATGTCAACTCAGAATACGGACTTTATGCTTAAAAGCTCAGCGTGAGAAAAGGTCAGGGCTACAATGGAACCAGAACACCCAGCTTAGTCACCAGCTGGCTAATAAAGACTTTCTATTGGTTCCAGAAGTCTTCTTTGGTGGACACCCCACCACAGGGGTTGTTTGTAACTATTGGGAAGAAAAGGCCATTAAGTGGTGGATCAGGAATGAGCTGTAAATGTAGAAAAGAAACAAGAACACAATGCAACATCAAAAGAAGCAGAGTGGGTGAGTGGGTGGGACTGCCGGGTTTCAGCACCAAAGTGTAAATGAATCTGAGTGTTACAGCTCTGTGGCTGCAAAGGTGTCCTGATTTTTTGGGAAGCCAGGCTACTTATGACAGCTCTAGAGAGTCTAGAGCTGCAACAGGACAGCTCAGCCCTGGAGAGAAAGGTATCCTGACTTTTAGGGAAGCCAGGCTACCCGAAACTGGGGTGCAATGGGGGATGATCTCCCCACAGGATATAGCAATCCTTCTCTCCAGGAGAAGCCATGACAGCTGAGCTCTGCTCTGTTCCTCTAAGGAAACGTCCTTTCTGAGCTAACCACTTCTTCCACCCAAGATGTTACTTCTTCAACTATAGTCAGCTAAAGGGGAAGCCCCTGCAGAAATGTACCAATCTCCTCCTGCTCCAGCAAAAAGTTGTCGCTTTTCTCTGCTACAGCCTTGCTCAATCCCTCTAAGGTAATGTCCCAGCAAGTTTCTTCTGTTCTTATGAGCCTTGCTCTGTTCCCCTAAGCGAATATCTCAGTAAGTTATATTCTGTGCCAGAGACTAAAGATCTTTACCTAACACTCTTTTGAGAAAGAGATTTATTTGGGAAGGAGGAGTCCAGTAGAATGGCTGCCTCTGCCAGAGTGGGAAAGGAAAGCCAGCAACTGAATAGGCGATTTTACTTTTTGAAACAGGGTCTCACATGTCCCAGACTGGCCTGGACCTTGCTATGTGGCCATAGATGAATTTGAATTTCTTTTTCTCTACCCTCTATCTCTCAAGTGTTGGGATTATGGACAAGAGTCACCACGGCACATGACATGTTATTTCCTAAGCGTTTTCATGTCTGCAACCTCTTTCAACTAGTGAAAAATTTGAGTCTTAGCCAGGCGTTGATGGCACATGCCTTGAATCCCACCACTCGGGAGGTAGAGGCAGGCGGATCTCTGTGAGTTCGTGGTCAGCCTGGTTTACAGAGCGAGTGTCAAGGCAGGCTCCAAAGCTATACAAAGAAACCCTGTCTCAAAAAACCAACGAAACATAAAAATAAATAAACATAACTTTCTTTGAGTCTGAGGGGTGCAGAGTAGAGTTCTGGTAACACTGGAGAGATGGCACTCCCACCCTGCACAACAGCATGCGCAGTTTCTGGATCCCAAGGTCCTGCGGCATTAATAATTCTGTCATCCTGGGCAGACCAGCAAGTACATGGCAGTCTGTTGTGCATCCAACTGATTGTCACCAAGACTCAGCCCGTTCCAGCCCAGGGTTCTCCTCCGCCTGAAGCTGACGCCGCAGAATTTGCCTAGTCTGCACCTGCGTACTTACAACATCCCACGCCTCTTCCTGGCCACGAGGCCAGACCGGACTTCCGGTGGCCGCCATTATCTTAACTGTCGTGCTCGATTCCTTGGGTTGCAGTCCAGGGCTCCGGTTGTGCAGCGCTCGCAGGTGGGGTGGACTCCGTGCTGGGTGGTGTCACGGGTGCTGGCCTGGACCACACCTGCGCCACACCTGGGCCTCTGCCTCAGCTGTGCAGCTCAAGGTTTGCGCCTCCCGGCAAAATTCTTTAATTCTTTTTGTTCGCCCTTTTTATTCTAGGAAACCTGGTAGAATTGGGCGCCCAACTCGTTCTGTCTACATCCAGCACACTCAGCGGAGGTAAGAGGAAACTCCATTTTTTTTTTTTTTTTTTGGTTTTTCGAGACAGGGTTTCTCTGTATTGTTTTGGAGGCTGTCCTGGAACTCGTGCTGGAGACCAGGCTGGCCTCGAATTCACAGAGATTCACTTGCCTCTACCTTCCAAGTGCTGGGATTCAAGGCGTGTGCCACCAACGCCTGGCTAAAACGCCATTTTTTCCAATTAATTGTTTATTTAAAAAAAAAAAGCCCAACAACTTCCTTTTAGTTCATTTAGTTCATTATAACATTCTCTTAGATACGTAGGTTTGATTAACATAATTGGGTTTTATTTCCTGAGTTCAGGTTGTAGTCCCCTGCTCTTCCTGACTCCACTTTCCAAGTGCTGGGATTACAGGCCTAAGGTACCAAGTCATTATAGGAAATAATATTTAGATGCTGTCTTAGTCACTGTTTAGTGGCTATGAAGAGACACCGTGACCAAGGCAACTATTACAAAACAAAGAATTTAATTGTTGGTTTGCCTATATTTTCAGAGGCTTAGTCCATTATCATCGTGGATGGGCCATGGCAGTATGCAGGCAGGCACTGGAGAAACGGTTGAGAACTACAACCTGATCACAGGCAGGGACACAGACCCTGGTTCTGTCATGGGCTTTTGAGACCACCCCCAGTGACATACTTCCTAATCCTTTTAAAAGAGTGCCACTCCCTGATGACTAAGCATTCAATTAGATGACCTAGGAGGGGGTGGGTGGCATTTTTAGTCAAACCACTAAAGATGGCACATTAGGGGAAGTTTGTGGTCAGTATATCAGCCAGTAACCCCCCCACACCCCGGGAGGAAAAAGCTAGGAAAATTCATACAAGTTCTCAGGGATAAAATAGTTCACGAGTTCAGTGTGTGGAAAAAGTTATTTGGATGAACGCATCTTTGTGATGGAGAATTTCAGCTCCTGTCTCTTTTAACTTTTAGATTTATCTTTGTCTGTATGAATATATATATATACACATACATACACACATACATACACACATACATACATATATACATACATATATATTCATGTGTGTACCGGGAACTGGCATTAAAGATGTTTGTCAGCTGCTATATGGATGCTGGGAACTAAACTGGGGTCCTCTGGAAGAACACTTATTCTCAGCTCCAGCTCTATTTTTAACTATGCTTTACACTATTAAATTATTTTTTCTTTCCCTCACTGGCTAGATGGCTGACCTTGATCAGTAGAGGTCTTCCTGCCTCTAGGACTGCCTCTTGAATACTGAAATTAACAGCACACACTGCCAGGCCTGGCTCATCTTTTCACTTTGTAACATACTTAAATTATTCAAATAAAATTGAACCTTTGTATTATCAAAATTAAGGTTTCTTTGTTTTTTGTTTGGTTTTAGTCTAGTTATATATTTTTAAAGCTATTTTTGGTATGAGAGAGTAAAAAGAAAATAGTTGATAATTTTAGCACTCAAAAGATTTTACCAGCAAACATTTATATACACATGCAAGATAACACTGTTTGAGAAAGGATTTAAAATGTCATAAGAATGAGGCTACAAAACTTTAGCCCATGAGGCATGAGACTATTACCTATTGTCTTCCTTAACACAATATATTTCTGCCAACTGTTTGATCCATGAAGAAAATTACTTAGTAAAAACCAATTATCAGATTCTTCAATTTAATGAATCAACTTGTGAAGCAGCTTCTTTCTCTCCCACATTCTGTTTTTTTTAAATGGTCGAATATAGCTCAGGTTGGCCTTGAGAACTGTGGATTTATTTTTTTTTTGTGACTAATACCAGTTTCTGAATCAAGTGTTGTGGTTGCTTCACTTGCTTTTCCTTTTGAGTGTCTTTTTCATCATTCTTCGTTTTGTTTTTCTGTTTTGCTTTGAAATAGGGAAACCTGCCTTGTAGGCCAAGCTGGTCTCAAACTCTGAGATCTGCCTGCCTCTGCCTCTTGAGTACTGAGATTAAAGGTATGTATCACCATGTCTGGGTACCATCATTGTTTTATGTTAACTAGAAGTTTTTGCCTTTCTCCTCTCTCACAGTGTGTGCCTGTTTGACTGTTCTTCACCATGGCTTCTCACAAGACATTCAGGATCAAGCGATTCCTGGCTAAGAAACAAAAGCAAAATCGTCCCATTCCACAATGGATTCAGATGAAAACTGGCAATAAAATCATGTACAACTCCAAAAAAAGACACTGGAGAAGAACCAAACTGGGTCTATAAGGAACCACATACTTAATGCTGTCTGAAGGTCACCATTATCTTACTGTATCAAGTTTAAAACATTACCATTGTCTGGATACCTGAGTATGTTTATTGGGAGCATGAGTTGCCTCTTTGTTTCTGTGCTCTTGTAGGTGAGTTCAGTAATAAATATGTGAAACCTTGTGTTTGGACAAACAATGTTTGCAGTGTGATATGACTTGTTTTGTGGTTCTGGAGAGCAAACCGAAACCTTTTCCATAATAGACAAGTAGTCTATCGGTGAGCCCCATCTCTGGCTTTTGTTTGGGAAGTTGAGGGTTGAGACACTCAGGATCCTCCTTCCTCAGCCTCTGAATGCTTGGAGGACTCCAGCAAGCCTATGTGACAGAAGTTATAAAAAGAAAATTGTTAAGACTCATTTTGTCAATCATTACACATGACTGTTGAAATTAGATGATTTTTTTTCAATCAATAATTGCACTCTGGTCCTTCATATATGTCACATTTAACAAATGCTTCTCGGGAGGCAGAGGCAGGTGGATCTCAGTTTAAGGGCAGCCTGGCCAGTTCCAGGCCAGCAAGGACTATAATGAGACGTCTTCCAGAAAGGTGTGGGGAGCTTTAAATCCCTCAGCACATTTCTGACTTTCCTGTCTCTATAAATGGTTTTCATTGCTTCCAGTGCTCTTCAATACCTTAGTGATTTTTGTAGGTTTTTTTTCCCCCCGATTGTTGCCAGTAGAAGCGCTGGCTTACCACAATCTACAGTGTTTGGCCTACTTTTTCTTAGAAGGGTTTCTAGCACCTATGTATGGCTTCTGTTATACAGTTGCAGACTGTGTATATATCTAAGGGTTAATGAACTAAAACCTCTGGATTGAGAACTCTGTACATGAATGTTGACTGATACCCCTCGGTACTTCCAATGTGGAGGTCCACAAACCACCTGGTATTTACCACATCCATACTGCAAGGGAACTCACTTGAAGCTCTCATCTTTCACCCAAGGTTCTTCTTTTCTGTCCTGTTGTTATGAGACCACTGAGAGACCTGAATAAGTCAAATGGTATGGAGCCTCAACCTCCCAATTTGTTTGAGCTTTTAAAGGCAAAAACCTCAACTGTGTGACATATTCAGAAAGGCAGCTGTGGACATCTGTAGCAAGCCAGCATTGTTTACAGAAGTGGAAAGATAGGAGTTAAGCCATCAGGCTGTTCTTGAAACAGGTCAAGGGTATATTGTACAGAAATTTATGACTGGTCTATATGATCAGTGCCAGTTTACACAATATAATTTTAGTTTTTCTAAAGAATGCTCTGAAAGACACCATAACTATAGTTCAGTAACCCCTATGCTATATGTAAGCATTGCAGTTGAGATGGAAAAGCATTCTGGCAATTGGGAGTCAAGGAATACCACAAAGTCACTGTAAATACAGTAGCTTACAGCCCTACTCCAGGGAAAGGTTTCCCCAGTGCAACAACAACTGCCCCAGAAGGGGAGGGCTGATGCTGCAAGGATAAACGGCACACTTACTGAAAGTTAAAATAAGTATTGTAGAAATTACAACAGACAAGTAACGCAGATGAGCCGAGTAGTTTTCCGCTGCCGAACTGGAAGCCAGAAAGCTGGAAAAGAGAGCTAGACTTCCGTTGTTCAGTCTTTTATACCTTCCTCCGTAACATAACGTAGTTCACCGCCTACATCAGTATACGTCTTTAGTCATGCCTAAAGTGGGTGTGTTTAATGTAGTAAACCACCCTTTTATTACCTCATCTGTATGCACCTCTAATAAGTCACATGGCTAATGGCGGAGTTCTGTTTTCCTCCTACAGAGGGCTTCTTCTCCAGCCAAGTTGTTACAGCTCTGTTCAGGTCCCAGAGTGCATAATTCTGCTCCACTAGCAAAAGGTTTCCCCAGTGAAAGTGGTACAGTCCTGGCCTCTGCTCTCCCTTAGCCAGGCTGTCTCTGCTCCAGTGAAAGAAGGTTGTCACCCAAACCTCATTTAAGAGATTTGTTGGGCGAGGTGATGGTGGCACATGCCTTTAATCCCAGCACTAGGGAGGTAGATCTCTGAGTTCAAGGCCAGCCTGGTCTACAGAGCTAGTTCCAGGACAGGTTCCAAAGCCACAGAGAAACCCTGTCTCAAAAACAACAAAAACAAAAACAAAGATTTATTAGGAGGGAGGAATCCATGAGAGTGGCTGCCTCTGCCCAAGGCAGCAGCAAACTGAACAGGCACAGGGCTTACAATAGGGCTTCTTAGGGGTGGAGTTTTTTCTAGGGTGGAAATTTTCAGGGTTGGAATTGGTCAGATTTCAGTTCCCTTGAGCTTGGACAAGCTCAGATTGGCTAGATTTTGTGCTCAGGAATTAGTTGGTTTTCTGCTCAGGGATTGGTTGGTTTTGTGCTCAGTTGGTCAGAGGCAGCTGTGGCTCTGGTTTCCAGACCAATATGTGTTACTTTCACTGGCCCTTTTTAGCCATCTGGCTCCAGTTTCAGGGCCGGGATGTGTTTCTTTGACTGGCACTGGTTCCAGGGCCAAAGTGTGTTTTTTTGGCCCTGGTTTCGGGGTCAGGGTGTGTGTATTTGGCTCTGGTTACAGGATTGAAATGTTTTTCTTTGACTGACCCCTTTTCCCTACACTATATATCCCAAAGAACCCTATGCCATGTAGGCATTGCTCTGTGAAGTGACTGCAACTCAAAGTTGTTCAGATTAAAGGAATGATTCTGATTCTGGAGATGCCTATCTTATTCTATTTCCAAGTTACCTCCATCAATCCAACATGTATGAATAAGTATGTTCTGTTATAATAAAACTTTTATTTACTAAAACAGGTGGTCATCCCTGGACTGTATTTTACCATACATGGAAGTCCTTACCAATTTTGTTTTTTGTTTTGTTTTGTTTTTTGAGGCAGGGTTTCTCTGACTTTGTAGGTTGTCCTGGAACTCGCTCTTGTAGACCAGGCTGGTCTCAAACTCACAGAGATCTGCCTGCCTCTGCCTCCTGAGTTCTAGGAATAAAGGTGTGTGCTACCACTGCCCGGCTCTTACCAACCTTTTACACCTTCCAGTCAATACTTCCTAAACTGTGTCCTTTGGTGTAAATACTGCTTATCAAGCGTTTCATAACAATTTCTAATAGCCAGTTGTTATCCGTTTGTTAATACATTATGAGCTTTTTCCGAGGAGATGTAAACAAAAGTCTTCTCACTCCACACAGGGCACCAGCAATGAAAATAAACACCCCCTTAATTGGAATTACTTACAGAAGCACACATAACTTTTGAACATCTACACCACTAAGGGAAAACACCTCTCCCAGCAACTGTCAACTGTCACAATCCTTACAGTGGAATAGGACGTTGTAAGCTCCACCCCCACCCCACCCCCCACCCCCTGCAACTGTTAACTGTCATATATCTTCAGGAGGGGGAGGGGCTTCATGAGTTCCTCTCCCCTAGCAACTGTTACTTGTATCTTGAGAAGGAGTATGGCCTTGTGAACTTGCTTCCACTTCAAAATGTAATGTTAACAGGCCCAATCTTATGCAGATTTTCTGCATGGCAGCAGTCATGTCATACTTGGAGAACAATATATAATATAGTAAAAAACATTAACCATTATATTATATTACAGAGATCCATTGTGGCAAGATAGCTTTTTAAAAAAGGCTCATATTTCTGGATATACCTGGATTTATCTAGGGCAAGGGTTCAGATCATTCTTACCCCTTTACCTGCAATAGTCACTTATAAAATGACAGTTACCTTTATGTAGTTGTTTAGAATTCCATCAGTCAATACTTCCCAAAGAGTGTTAGTGACATGGCTCAGCCTTACATGAGATTCTTAGCCCGGCTGAGCCCCAAATAAACACACAGACGTTATAGTAGTTATAAAAGTGTTGGCTAGTATTTAGGGCTTCTTATTGGCTAGCTCTGTCTTAATTATTAACCCATTACTATTAATCTATGTATTTCCATGTGGTCTTAGCTTACCGGAGATCGTCTGATTCGTTCTCTCTTCTTGGGCTCACATCACAACTCCTGTCTGCCTATATTTCCCAGAATTCAAGCCCTGCATATCCTTCCTGCCGGCACTAGCCACCCAGTGTTTTATTTATCAACCAATAAGAGAAACATATATACAGTAGGACTTCCCCCATCGGCTCAGTGAGTAAAGGTATGTACTTCAAAAGTCAAAAGAGATGCTAACCATAGGTTGTAAATCTATAGTATTTCCATAATAATATCTGGGCACCATAATCTTGTTAACATAAAATTAACAATATTAGCCATAGCAATTATACTTTATTTCCATTCTATCATTTAATGTAATATTCATTTAGACCACTGTAAGCTAGAAACATGAGTGCTGGAACATAAAATTAACAATAATAATCATACATTGTCAGCTGGGCGTTGGTGGCCCACGCCTTTAATCCCAGCACTTGGGAGGCAGAGGCAGGTGGATCTCTGTGAGTTCAAGGCCAGCCTGGTCCACAGAGTAAGTTCCAGGACAGCCTCCAAAACAATACAGAGAAACCCTGTCTTGAAAAACCAAAAAAAAAAAAATCATACATTATCTTAGTCACTGTTCTATTGCTGCGAAAAGACACCATGCCCAAGGCAACTCTTACAAAAGGAAGCATTTAAATTGGAGATTGTTTACAGTTTCAGAGAGTTACTCCATGATCAGCATGACAGGAAGCAGACAGGCATGGTGCTAGAGCAGTAGCTGAGAGCTCTACATCCTGATCCACAGGCAGACAGAGAACCTGGGTCTGCTATGGGTTTTTGGAACCCCAAAGCCCACTCCCAGTGATATATACTTCCTTCAATAAAGTCACACCTCCTAATCCTTCTAATCCTATCAAAGAGTTCTACTCCCTGGTGACTAAGCATTCAACTATGTGAGGGCATTCTATTTCAAACCTCCACTCTTTGTTATATATCATTTAATGTTGAATTCATTACAGTCTGTAAGCCTGTACATGGGTGTTGGGGAGTATCTTGGGCCCTTTAGAAGGGCAATAGAACTTTTACTGGACATCGGTTAAGTATGAGATAGCAGACACAGGCACTGTGTAAGGGATAATGGAAAAGATATGGCTGTAAGAGGGTGGTGGTAATTATATTTGTAAGAGCTGAGCTGCTGCTCAGCTTTTTTGCATCTTTGCAGTTATGTTTGGCTAGTCGCTCAGGGACTTTCAGCTTTTATTGTTTATTATGGTAAGGGCCTAGAAAAGCTGGTCAGTTTTAGGAACTTTCCTGAAACAATTTTGATTTACCTTCCTGTTTAAGGAGCTTCTCTACAGATGAAATATTTCTTTTCTCTTTTTTTTGCGGGGGGGGGGGGATGAGGTGGGAGAGGGCAGGGATTTGAGACAGGGTTTCTCTGTGACTTTGGAGGCTGTCCTGGAACTAGCTCTTGTAGACCAGGCTGATCTCGAACTCACAGAGATGGACTTGCCTCTGCCTCCCGAGTGGGCCACCACTGTCTCGCTAAGATGGAATCTTTTTTTAAAAATGGTTTTCGAGACAGGGTTTCTCTGTGGCTTTGGAAGCTGTCCTGGAACTCACTTTGTAGACCAGGCTGGCCTCGAACTCACAGAGAACCGCCTGCTTCTGCCTCCTGCGTTCTAGGAATAAAGGTGTTCACCACCACCGCCCGGCAGAATCTTTCAAAATGGGAGGAAACTCTTATACAACAACATGGCAGCAGGCCATAAGGGCATGTCCTTCCCCTTGGAACCCAAGAAATTAGAATTACCTCAGGGATGTACTGGAAGAAAAGGGACTGGAGCTCCAGGGGGTATCCAGAAAATGCACTTGTCTCCTGAAGAAACTCAATTGTCAGATCCACTTCCAGGGGAGATTGGACCTGAGACTACAATAGGCAGAGACCACACTGTGGCCAGACTGTTTTTGCTGAAACTCTATTTAGAGACTGGGAGTTAGCCAGACTCCCTGATAGGCACACAGATAGGGGAGGGGCCACAACTAAGTAATAAAGGTGGTGAACTTACAAGATGCCGTAGGAGAGGCTTCCTAAGGGCTTTCTCAGGGGAAAGGCAGTGAGAAGGAAAGGGCCTGCTCAGTAGTAAGCGTAAGGGGAAGACAATAAGAAAAATACAAGGACTAGAATCTCCTGAGCAGACTCCCAACTTGGGGTTTCCTCTCTCATTCTGACAGGAGATCATCCTTCTGGCTTTCCTATATATTGGCTTATTGTTTCTCTAAGATAGTCAATTTCTTGCTTGTTACCCAGAACAAACTGAGCTAATAGCCATTATATCCAGAAGACTGGCTTGGGGGAGTCTCAGGATCTGTCTCTTCACCCCTCCCAATGTGGCCATATTGAATAAATCTCTCTCTGTTTTTCTGTAAGTATTTGACTCCCTTAGTTAGCTTATTGAGGATGAGTGGCAAACCCTGCCTTGTTGCAGCACACGTAATAATCCCTAAGTCTTTTATAGCAGGACCATGTTTTTAAATATGTATATATTTAAATGTGTGTGTCCCTCCATGAATTTGTGTGCATCACATGCACGCAAGTGACCTCGGAAGTCAGAGGGTCTTAGATTCCTTGGAATTGGAATTACAGGCAGTTGTGAGCTGCCTGACGTAGATGGAGCGCTGGGAACTGAATTCTCTGCATGAGGGCACAGGCTATATATTGCTGAGTCATCTCTTCGGCCACTCGACATAGCAAACTTTAAGGGACTGACATCTGAAAACTCAGTAATGAGGACACATGTTACTGTACTGCGATTATTTATTTGTCTGTGTATCCATGTATCTATCTATCTAGCTCTATTTATCTGTCTGTTTATCGTCTATTTATTTTGAGATTGGTGGGTTTGGAGTTCATTCAGGCTTGCATTTAACTCACACAGACCGGGCAACCCCTGCCTCAGGCTTGCTGGTTTTAAAGGAGTGTGCCACCAGGTGTAGCATGCAAATGACTCTTTCCCATATTACCAGGCTGTGAGCTCTGTGTGAAGGAGAAATGCCAGGAAGATACTCCTCCCCCTCCTCAGCAATGCAGCATAGCTGCTCAAGGACATTTTGCAAACAGCCCCTACTGGTCAGGAGACTTTCTGTCTCCAGAGCACATCTGATGATAGTAACGAGAAATACTGTTTTTCGTGGTTTCTTAGCCCCTTCTCTCTAGAGGCTCCACAGAACGTCAGTAAAGGCTTGCTGGAGCAGCAAAGCCTCGAGTCCCCTGTGGTTATCTCGAATTCACGTGTCCCTGGCCGATCACCATCCGGGATTCGAACTTAGCAGGATTTCACAGTTGGAATCCATAATCCTCTTTCCTCCGGGACTTGCTTTTGTTAACAAATTTAGTAAGAACTTCCTAAACACCTTTCAAATCTTTGCCCAATGCGGTGCTCGCCTGCCTCAGGGACCCTGCTGAGAGGCCCGGGACAGCTCTAAGCGCGGGGTCGGGAGCCCGCGGCTCGCCTCCAGTCAGTTTACTTTTCCCTCAGCCGCTCTGCACCCCGCCCACCGTCGCCGTGATTGGCTGGGCTCCAGCCCTTCGCGCGTTCATTGGCTGTCAGAGGGCCGGGGGCGGAGGCAGGGAGATTTTAGTCTGGCTCCCGCTCCACCGCGGGTCATTTCTCCTGAGGTGGCGGCTCGCTTCTCTGCGGAAGCCGTCGGGGAGCGGCGCCGCTCCGCGCCGCGCCGGGTACGTTGCGGGCGGCGGTGGCTCCGTGCGGGCGGCGGTTGGAGGGGTGGCTGGCTTCATGGCGGCGCTCGCCCCTCGGAGGCCGGCCCCGACCTGGAGGGAACCGGTCCTGAGGGACGCAGGGACGACCGCGGCGGGGCTGTCGGGAGCGGCCGCCTGGGCTGGCGCGACGCGGGGGCGGGGGTGAGGATCGCCGCGGCGGGAATGGCTGTGCTCTTTGCTGTGCACTCTTGCGTACGGCAGGTGAAGTGGTGGTGCAGCCCACGTCCGGCGTCTGTATCCGCTGGTCAGGTCCGGAGAAGCCACGGACTTGTAGTGATAAACACAGGTGCCAGGACAATTACCTGGAGCACGCCGTGTGGTCTTGATCTGTGGTAGGCAGGCAGGCTCGGAGGGAGAGTAACATCTTTGGACCAATTTGCTGAAAGAGACTGGCACCTGGAGTAAGCCCATGGCGCCTTGGGCTTGCTGCTCCATGGTGTTATGAAAGAAAGACCCTCAACTCCCGCAATGAGCCAAGTTATGTGGAGCCTATCTTCACCACCGGCAGGGCTGTCCTAGCCAGAGTAGCATCTCAGATTTAAAAAGAAAAATCATAATAGTGCATACATGACTATTCCGAAAGCAGCTGTGGGTATCTGCAGGGAGCAAGCAAGCATTGTTTGCAGTTCTCATAACCTTAAGGTCAAGGACACATTGCATAGAAATATATGGTTGGTCTACATGACCTGTAACCAGTTTACCAAAGATAACGCTAAATTTTGCTTAATATTTTTACGAATTGTCACAACTGCAGAGTTCAGTAGCACACTATAAATGGGACTCTGGCTGATGCTGAACGCCATTCAAGTAGAGGTCGATTTTAGTGACTTTTTTTTTGGTTTTTCGAGACAGGGTTTCTCTGTATTGCTTTGGAGGCTGTCCTGGAACTCACTTCGTAGACCAGGCTAGCCTTGAACTCACAGAGATCCGCCTGCCTCTGCCTCCCGAGTGCTGGGGTTATGGGCATGCGCCACCAATGCCCGGCTAACAATTTCTTATTCTTCCTCGTCTTTTTCCAGTTTGGGCAAACCAGTTAAAAGAACGTGTCTTAACATAGGAAACAACAGTGACCTCTTTGCTTAAAATTCTTAAGGAAACTGACTTCTGTCTAGTGTGGTGGGGCAATATTTAAATCCCAGCATTTGGGAAGCAGAGGCAGGAGGATCTCTTGTGAGTTTAAAGACCAGTCAGTGAGACTCTATCTTAGTAAATGAATAAATAAAATGTGAAAAGGAATGAAATTATTAAGTCTTGTGAAAGTTGCCTTTTTTTTTTTTTTTTTTTTTTGGTTTTTTGAGACAGTGTTCCTCTGTAGACTGTCCTGGAACTCTCTGGAAGACCAGACTGGCAAGTGCCACCAATGCCTGGCTGTGTATGTTGTTGGTTTTTTTTTTTTTTTTTTTTTTTTTTTTGGTTTTACGAGACAGGGTTTCTCTGTATTGTTTTGGAGGCTGTCGGTCCAGCCTGGCCTCAAACTCACAGCAATCCTCCTGCCTCTGCATCCCAAGTGCTGGGATTAAAGGCGTTCACCACCACCGCTTGGCAAATGTGGCTTTTTTTTTTATTAGCTTGTTTATCCCTCAATTTCCTTTTTAGAAAGGTGGAATCTAAACTTAACCAAATTGTAGATCAGCTACATCCTTAGATTAACTTCTACCATAGCCAAAAGCAGTGCATTTAAAAAAATAGCAGCTAATGCAATTTAACCACCTCTCGACTTTTTTTGGCTTTATTATATCAACCCTGTGCTTATGTCAGTCTTGAATTCCACTGTTTCCTTACTACTTAGTGTTTTGAATTTTGATATGAAACTTGAACCGTACCTTGATCTCTGCTTGCCTTTATATCATAATTCTCTGACATATACATAATGATAAAATTATTTTGTTGTGCAGGCATGTATTTGCCACTCCACTGGGTTCTAGGAATTAGGCTTCCATGGCAAGTTCTTTCACCTATTGAGCTATCTTACTCTCTGAGACTTAAATAAACCTGGACCTGTACTATAACACACATAGCAATAATCTTGGATAATTTTTAATCTTTATAGTTATAGGTAAGGCATTCTGTGCTTAAGTGTTATCTAAAGAGAAAACAATGAGTTTTACAGCATTAAGAACTATGCTAAGATGAGCCAGTAGGGTCACAATTTAAAGGCCTACCTCAATACTACAGAGTTGGTTCAAGGCCAGCTTGGGCATCATTCATTAGTGAGGGCTTATCTCAAAATAGAAAAGAGTTTAGTGGTAGAGTAATTGGCTAACATAAGTGAGGCCATGGATTCAATGCCCAGTATATAAATACTCCCAAATTAAAAAAAAATGAGAAGATAATCAGATACAGCTTTAAATTTTGAATGTGAATAATTACAAATGTGATGTTTATGGTTCTAAATCTAGTCATCAGCTGGATAGAGCACTCATACTTTTACTGAATTGCCTCTGAAGCACTACTGTTCCTAGTGTTGTGAAAAAGCTAGAGGTGGCCATGGTAAAATTGTTAAGGACTGTTGTACTACTCTATTTTTTTTTTAACCAACCAAAGATAGAAAAAATTAGTTGTGGGCCCTGTGTGGTGTTGCACACTTTTAGTTCCAGTATTTGGGAGGCAGAGGCAGATATATCTCTTGAGTTCCAAGCATTCCTGGTGTACATATCAAGTTCCAGGTCAGCCAGGGATACATAGTGAGACCATGTCTCAAAAGAAAAGAAAAGAAAAGAAAAGGAAATCCCTAAATATTGTGTCCCATGAGTGGTGACTCATGCCTATAATACCAGGACTTAGGTGGTTGTAGCAAGACAGCAAAAAGTTCTAGGGTAGTCTGGTATACATGAAATCTTGTCTCAAAAAATACAAGACACAAAACAAATGAACCTGTCCATGATACTCAGAAGTACTCTATATCCTGCCTCTGTTTCCTCAGCATTAGGATTGCAGGTCAGGTTGTTTTAGAGAGATGGTCTTATACATACCCCAAACTTTTTGAGGGGGGTAAATGTGGATGTAAAAGGGTCAGTTGTATGAGAAATTAAGTAGATGTAGCTGAAATTGTAGTTCAAGAAATGTGAATGGCAGTATACTTAAAATTACAGATTTGCCAGGTGGTAGTTGCATTTACCTTTAATCCCAGCACTCAGGAGGTAGAGGCAGGTGGATATCTCTGAGTTTGAGGCCAGCGTGGTCTACAGAGTGAGCTCCAGGACAGCCAAAAGCTACACACACAGAAACCCTGCCGGGGGAGAGGGTAATGACACATTCATTGGCCAGATATAGTCACATTCATCTTTAATTACAGCACCTGGGAGGTTGACTCGGTCAGATCTTCAAGGCCATCCTGATTGACATGGTGAGTTCTTGGCTGGCCAGGGTGGTGGCACACACCTTTAATCCTAGCACTTGGGAGACAGAAGCAGGTGGATCTCTGAGTTCCAGTCTTATCTAGCTAGTTCCAGGACAGGTAGGGCTAGATAGAAAAACTGTCTCAAAAAGCTAATAAATAAAATGAAGTCAGAGCTCCAGCACTAGTAAATGTCAGTACAGTGTGGGGATGTGCCTATAATCTCAGCACCTGGGAGGCTTAGATTGGATTCTAGGAACAAGCTGGCAAGCAAGACTAGCCAAATTGGTCAACTCCGAATTCATTGAGAGACCTTGCCTTAATATCTATGATAGAGAATGATACACGAAGATGCTCAAAGTTAACCTCCCAAATTTAAGCAAACATATGTGCACTCATACAAAGCTGAAAAAATGAAAACAAAAGCACAAACTTGGCAAGATAGCACCATGGGTACTTGCTGTCCAACCTTGACTCCTCAATTCCATCCCCTGGATCTACCTCCTTGAAGGAAAGGACCAACTCCCCCAAGTTGTCCTTGACCTCCCCTTCCAAGACACACACATACTAGGGAATGTGTGACTCCTTCATTTATCAGACAACATCTTTTTCTTTTGAAATAATCTCCCTTTGTAGTCCTGGCTAGCCTGGAATTCAGTATGGAGACTGGGCTTGGTCTCTAACTCACAGAGATCTTCCTACCTCTGCCTCCTGAGTGCTGAGACTAAAGGCCCCAAATTTTTCTTTTTATTAAATTAGAAACAAGCTTGCTTCACATGTCAATCCCAGCTCCCTCTCCCTCTCCTCCTCCATCCCCCATATTGGCTCTGAACTATGAGGCTTTAACACCATTAGCTTAGCTGACATCTCAAAGTTTTTACTTTTCAAAAGTAAGACTGGATAGTAAAGATTTACTATTTTAATAGCAATACTATTTAATAGTAAAACTTTAAAGACACATTTGAAGATGACTCAGCAGGTAGAAATGCTTGCCACCAAGCCTGACTACATAAGTTTGATTCTTAGGATCCACGTAGTTGAAGGAGGAGGGTACTAACTACCATCAGAGGTACTCACAGCAACACACACATGCACTCATGGCATGACACACACACACTAAATAAATACGTAAATAAACATAATTTTAGGGGCTGGAGAGATGGCTCTGTGTGTAACAGCACTCAGTACTCTTGTGAGCTTGGTTTAGTTTCCAGCATCCATATTGTATTTTACCTGTTGTCCCAGGAGATCAGCTCTGCTTCAAGGGATCTAATGCTCTCTTCTGGTCTCCACTGGCACTACATACACATGGTATACATATATACATTTAGAAGTTCATGAATCACATAGAAAGAACTTGATCTCTTTGAGCTATATGTATATACATTTACCACAGAATGTAAGACAAAAACTAATAGGTTTCTCTGCTAATGCAGTAAGCCAGATCAAGCCAAGTTGAAAAAATAAAAGAACAGGTTTATTTGAGCAAAGAAACTCCCTGGTGAGTTCTGTCCAAGAGGTTGAGGCCAGAGAAGTCACACACCTGAATTAAAGCAGGGAGATTATATAGCCTGTAGGTAAGGGGTGTGTGTCCTCTACAAGCTGGGTTTGTACTCACGTGTGATCAAAAGCTGAATATTTGGGCTGCTGGCAACTTCAGGGAGGAGCTACCATGATCACCAAGAATGCCAAACTGGACTTTTGAATGCCTTTTGTTTATTGGCGATTTCTCTGAGAGGGTGGGGTTTGGAGATGGGGTGGGGGGTTTCTCAGACCTTGCAGGAGTGAGCTAGAGGTTCCAATAAAAACCTTTCCTAGAGAGACAACACACATGTCCACGCAACCCAGAAAGGGAACCCATGACAGACCAATGTATGAATACCACCAAAGTCCAATTTGGTGAAGCATTGAGTTTTTTTTGGGTTACTTTCAAGAATATGAGTGATGGGTTACATATTGTAGAAATGAATCAAAGACCAAAGTTTACGCCAACATGGGTGATAGCTCACAAAGCTGAAACCTGGAACATACTATATACCCTCTAGGCAGCTCAACATGAGTAGCCTTTCCAGGTGCCACAGTTGGTTTAAACTTATAGGCAGTTCACCTGGTTTTGGTTTATTCAGGAAGCTGATTTGGTTCAAAGTCTTATCTGCAGCTCTGCTTGACTAGACCCAGAGGAACTCCCAGCTTTTATTGTTTATTCTGGCAGGGAAGATCCCAGTGATCTGGACTTAAGCTATTTTGAGTTGTTTCCTTTTTTGTTTGTTTGTTTGTTTGTTTTGGAGACAGAGTTTCTCTATACTGTTTTGGAAACTGTCCTGGAACTCGATCTGTAGACCTGGCTGGCCTCGAAATCACAGAGATCCACCTGCCTCTGCCTCCCAAGTGCTGGGATTAAAGGCGTGCGCCACCACTTACAAATTGCATTTAAAAGAGAACCTAACTTGAATGTTGTTGAAGTGTTTCCATTCTTGAAAACAACCTACTAGGAAAGTTCTTCCTTAGAAAGTCACACCAAAGAATACGGAGCTGATTACAGGATTGGTGCAAATAAACTTAACATTTCAAAGTTGTAGCAGAATGTGACAGTGTTGCTCAAATAACACTGGTTTTGCAGGCATGGAAGATGGGAGAGTGTTGGGGTAATGGAGTCATATGGCAGGGTTACAGAAAGTAACTTGGTTTTTTGTTGTTTTGTTTTGCAGGAATCCACAATTAAGAGATTGACTTGAGCTGGATATGTTGGTACAGCAGAGGCAGGTGGATCTCTGAGTTCAAGACCAACCTGGTCTACGAAGTGAGTTCCACATCAGTTAGAGCTACATAATAAGGCCTTGTCTCAAAAGACAAATTGACTTCAGTCTCAGAAGAGATTTGGACTTTGAAACAGTGTTTGAACTATTAAAGACTATGGGATTTTAAAATATATATTGTATTATGAAATGGCCATAAACCTATGGGTCAGGGAATGAATGTTATCATTTGAAATATGAAATGTCCCTTATAGCAATGGTTTTCAAACTTCATAGTGCTGTGACCCTTTAATACAGTTTCCCAAACAAACTATAATTTTGCTACTGTTGTAAATCATAATGTAAATAACTGTGTTTCTGCTTATGGTGAATCATGGGCCCCCTCCGTGAATTACTTAAACTTTGGTTTGCTGTTGCTTTTTGAAGTAGAAAAATCCCATAGTCCTTTTTCTTTTACAAGTTGCAAGATTAGATGGATGGGATCTTAACCAGAAGAGGGCACACTCCCCTTATTCCATTTCACAGCAGGAATATTTTTCAACCAAGTCTTGGCTCCAAAATTCAATTTCCTGATGCTTTTTTTGATTCACACTGTAAGCTTTTTAATTTCTTTTTGCTGTTTACACTTTTTCATTGTGTAGCCTACATAAAAGTGATTTTACTAATAACCACTGAACATTTACTATTAAGCTGTCATGTAATCTCCTCTGCCAAGGAAATTAATCCAGAGTTTTCCAGTTTGGTCTCAGGCAGATTCTTAGGACATGAACAAAAAGCGATGATGATTTTTTATCATTATCGCAAGAATGGTCTCCGGTCCAATTGCTAGTATTGTTTTCTGAAACCTCATCATCTGAACTTCCAGTAGTCCACATTGATGTCAGCACTACTGTCTTCCAAGGTTCTACTAGGATAGTCTGTTAAGCCCCATTTACAGCATTTACCTGCATTCTTGGTGCAAAGAGCAGCATGACAGACCTGTATCATCAGTACCCCCCCCCACACTCCTGGTACCAACTTTTCTTAGTTACTTCTGTATTGCTATGGTAAGAAACAATAATAACCAAGGAAGTTTATAAAAGAAAGTGTTTGAGCCGGGCGTTGGTGGCGCACGCCTTTAATCCCAGCACTTGGGAGGCAGAGGCAGGCGGATCTCTGTGAGTTCGAGGCCAGCCTGGTCTACAAGAGCTAGTTCCAGGACAGCCTCCAAAGCCACAGAGAAACCCTGTCTCAAAAAACCAAAAAAAAAAAAAAAAAAAAAAAAAGTGATTGGGGGGTCCTTACAGTTTCAGAGGTTTAGAGTCCATGACCATCATGGAGCGGAAGCATGGGAGCCTTCAGGCAGATATTGCACTGGAAGAGGCAGAGAGGCCTATATGGAAATGTCTTGGACTTTTGAAACCTCATAGCCCATCCCCAGTGACATGTCTCCTCCAATAATCAATCCCAAACATTTCCACCACCTGGGTATCAAGTATTCAAACATAAGCCTATAAGGGCCATTCTTTTTCAAACCACCACTCAGGTACTTTCTGCTGCTTTAAAAAAAAAAAATTAAATGAGTGATCTGTCTGTATGCCAGAAGAAGGCATCAGATTCCATTATAGATGGATATGAGCTACCATGTGGTTGCTGGGAATTGAACTCAGGATCCCTGGAAGAGTAGCTAGCCATCTCTCCAGCCCACCTGGGGTCATGGATTGGATCCCTTGTTGACTTCAAACTGACTATATAGCAAAAGGTAACAAAGTCCTGATCATTCTGCCTTCATTTGTTCCTGAATGTAGGAATGACAGCCCAGTATCACCATGTTTGAATTTTAAGCAGTACTGGGGGTTAAAGCTGAGGCTGTGTGGCATAATAGTCAAGTACTCTTTTTTATCACCAGGCCTGCAAAACCACTTCATGAGTTAAAGAAATCCTTGAATATTATCTAATCTGTTAAAAGTATCTGTGGTAATTCCACAGAAAACATTCATACTTATGAACTTCCCTTCTAAATTAGGAGCAAGGTTACTTTTGCCTCTTTTATTCAACATTGTACCAAAGGATCGTTAGATCTGAAAGTAAACTTAAAAGAGATTAGAATGAATGAAAAGGCTTTAGTCTTTTGAAAATAAAAACTAATAAGTACAAAATAGTAAGAAATCCATAATAATGATTGAAGAACAAATAAAGATCATCAAAGTTAAAAGATACAAGATTAGTGTATAAAAATAGCTTTCAGTCTGTAGTGATTGAACTTAAATCTTTTTTTTTTTAAGTTTATGCTGGGTTTGTTAGTCAGCTTTAATCCTGCATGGTAGCACAAATGAAACCCTGGGAACCCTTGGTTTGATCCCTGACATTTCCTAAACTGGGTGTCTAGTAAATATCTGGAGTTTAGAATTGAGATAGAGGCAGGAAGATCAGGGATTAGCTCCATAGTGAGTACAAGGGTAGCCTGACTATATCAGTCTCTTTCTCAAAATGTCAAGAAATGAAAAAAATTTGGCAGCTTTAAAAGTGAGCTTACTTGGGGGTGTTAATTGCATTATAACTTGGGTTTATCAGGATATAACCCCATTTACTATGGAACATCAGAACTTTAAATGAGTCCAAAAAAGATGTTGAGAAAAGAGCTTGTGTATAATATAAAAAAGAAGTACAAGGAAGGAAGAATGCCTCCGTTGCTAACTTATTTCACTGAGACCTGAGTTCAGCCTACAGCTCCCATGTTAAAATGATGGTAGTGATGGTGCATGCTTGTAATCCCAGCAAAGGAGAAGAGTCAGGAGAATTCTGGATACTCTAAGCCAGCTAGCCTGTGGGTTTCTTCTGTAGCTAAGATTGCCACTCTGGTGTCACTATGTCTACCTGCTCTGTGCCTGAGGCTGCTTCCTCACTGTGGAGCTAGGTTAGCTATGTATACTGTTTTCCTACTTTTCTCTATATCAACTTTTTCCATGTACTTGATTTTTAGTGAATATATGGACACATTTTTGTTTTTATATTCATTATGCCTTAGAGCTTTCTACAGGAATAAGACTTGCCCTCTTCAAAGAGATATGGTCTGGTTTTCTTCCCAAAACTTTTACCATTCATGTTTACACATGTGACCCATTTAGTATTACTTTTCTATTTTTTATTACCTATTACTTTGAAATTGATTAGATAAGGTATGAGATAAAGAGTAAAGTATGTTTTTTCCCCATATACCTGTCTTGTAAACCTGAATCCTGTATTAATACCAGTCTTTTTTCTCCTTTGTCCAGGTAATGCTTTTGAGACAAGTCAAATGGTTGTATGTGACGCTCTTTCTGATTTCAAACCTGTCCTATTGGTACCACTGTCTTCATTATAGTACATACTATTTAAAATAATTGTTTCTATTTAAAATATAACTTCCAAATAGAAATAATCAACCTGAAGAAATATTCTCACCATTATTTTAATATTATTATTACTATTTAACTGGGTAAATCCATTTAAATATTTTTTTAGGCACATTATCATGTTAAATATATATCTTAAATTCTAGGATACAAAATATGGAAAGTCCAGACAGAAAAAGACAGAAGGTTTTAAAGGCCAAAAAAACAATGCCTACAAGTTGCCGGAAGCAGTTGGAGATCCTGAACAAGTCAAAGAATGTTGAAGTTTCAAAAGCAACAACTGGAATTAATATTCCAAATGGTAATTACTTTGGATGACAAGAGAATTAACAAGATAGCTTTCAGTTTAGAAGCAAACTTTACTTCAGAGTCTAAGGTCAAAATTATGTTTTTGAGTTCATATTTTTGTATCTCTTGAAAAAGCACCTACTAACTTGGTAAATTCAGTCTGCTCTAGTAATTGTGCTTATGCCGTTTTGAAAACTGAAAAATGCAGTGGGACCTGTCACTCTGTCCTTTTTTTATTGTGAATGTGCATACTCAAGTGGCAGACATTACTTGGCCTTGATAGTAGTAGCAGTAAGTGTATGTCTTTTGGAGAAATTCAAATAGTGACTTTCCTGAGGGTATTCTAAAATCTCAGATATGCAAAACAGTAGAGTACATATAGATAGGACAAAAAGTAAATTCTGGCTGTTTTGTTGTAAATTCTTCTTGATTCTGAGGGCAATATACATTGTTAAAGGAGAAAATTATGGTTAATCACTAATTATTGGATTTATTTGCAGTGCTAGAATTGGGCAACAGGCAGAGCTAAATACTGTTTAAAAGAGTTCTTTTCTGATACTGGGGG